TAAATGAGTCTTTTGTTCCTTCAGTTTGTCTCTTACTTTGTTCAGCTTGTGAAAAATCATAGCCTGATGTGTGCTTAAAGTGAAATGTAGTTCCTCAGGACTGTAGTTTGTCAGGGATGGACGAATTTTTGAACTAGAAATACATCACAAATGGACCAAACAGGGATGGGTCAGATTTTAGTTTAATTTTATTTCATTTTTCTTTGGTTCTTCATTCCATTGGTGTGTGTGGTTTTTTCTTTCTTTGAATAATCTGTCACATGACCCATTTCCAGTGAAGTCTTTGTGAGCACATCTGATAAATTTTGGTACAAAGTCATTGGTCTTGCATTTAGACATCTTGTTTTGCTCACTGAGATTTGCAGTTCCTTCTGCAAACAGCAAAAGTGACATCTCCTGGACTGATGCAGTTTTCTTTAATCTGAGCTAAACAATAAAGTTATTTTACATAAATAAATTGATATGATAGAACATGTCCTCTCCATTATGTGTTTGTGGGGTTTTTTTCCCTTAAGGAATTTTATGTTCTCATGTTACTGGTATTTTCCTCTCTTTCCTAAGAGTTTGCTATTATTGCATCTTTATCTTTTAAGGAAGGATGTGTCAACTAGCAGGTATCCAGCTGTGAGAGGAGAGGGTAGAGGAAAAAGCTTCAGTTTGGTTACCTGCAAGTCTTGCTTCTTTATAGATGTATGAGACTGTCATACTTCTCTGTGAAAGGAGGTTGAGGCTAGTCCCTAATGAAATCATGTTTTCAGCTGCCTTGGTGTGCTGTGCCTGCCAGGGTTGAGTGTTTTAGCTGATGCTCTTTACATAGGGAACAAAACCGTGTGAACTTTGGTTTGTTCTCTCTGATGTTACCTTTCTGCATTTAAATGTTAACTAGAGATGTGGCTGGCACTGACGCACTAGGGATGCTGATTCTTAGCAAAAAGTCGATGGTTTCCATTAGTTCTTCTGATAGTAACTTAATGTTGCTTGTTTGGACTGATGGCCTAATATTAACTCTGGAAAATTACGTTTGCAAGTACAACATCTGTATGTGAGCGATCAGCTTCTTTAGCAAGTGAGTACTTCAGACACAAGTTGGAGAGATATCAGAATGGGGAGGGCACTTTCATGCTTTCTCGATTACTCATGAATTCCAGAGGGTATCTTAGGACAGTGCTCATGTGCTAGACATGAGTGCTCAGCCTGAAAGAGAATGCTTCTGGGTTAAAGAAGGTTAATATTAAAAGCATTAGCAAAGGAATCCTTGGGGTGAGCAAGTGACTTACATACATTATTTGCAGAAATTAGGTTTACTGAATGCTTGAAAGTTGTAATGCCCAAGAAGCACAAAAGGGGAAATGTCCTTTTCTATTAAGAAATTGCAGGTAATACCTTGTGTTGAATTCACTGGTTACTTTTATGGAAGAACTGATGAGACAGGTAGCTCTCTGTTTCAGAGGGCTAACAACTGTGTTGTTCATAGCCTAAAATGTTAAGGATTCTTGGACTATGTGGTCTCAAATGCCTGGCTCTATTGACTCCCCTTTAACAGTGTTTGGAAAGAAAAAACGTCAACGACACTCATTTTTCTCTCTGCTTAGCATACATGTATTTGCTTGCTTATTTATACTGTAAAATGTTAAAAGAACAACAAGAGGAGCATGCAGCTTCATTATTTACATGGATACTTTTGTCCTTTCCATGTGGGTAATGTAGCCGTTCATGACAGTTTGATGTGAACTCACTTTATATTGTTGCACAAAGTAATATATTTCCCATGTCCGTTGTTACATTTTGTACTTTTCCTTATCACAGGTCAGCTGGGGAGAAGGAATGGTCACACTCACTGGCAAAAGCAATGTATATTATGCTACAGCGCCTGAGCGGCCAATTTGTTTGCTTTCCAATTTGCTGCTAAAGGCTGAGTCATTCTTAATGTTATAACAAATACATATTAGATAAGTTATCACAGCAAACTGTTTCTTGTCTCTTGCAGTTGATGACAGGAAAAGTTTCAGACTCTAAAGTCAAAAACAAGGGCTCTTTCTAAACACTGAAAGTATTTTAGACTTACATGATTGTATGAAATGCTTCTGACATTGAATACAGCTGCTCTTTATGTGAAGTTGGTGACAACTGGTGTTTCCCTAGACTTTCCAAAAAGTGTTGCTAGTTCTTTTTTTCTTCAGCCATGTTGCTGTTAAATATTATTTTATTGCCTTCCCTTCAGCAAAGAAACAAGTACCAATTTCAGTACCTCATAAACGAAACAATAGCAGGATGCAATTGTATGCTTCTCTAACTGCAAATTTATCTTTTTGAGGAACAGATTACAACAAAGTGTGCCCTTGGAAAAAAATACCTGTATTGGCCAGAGAGACTGGGAACTCTCCTAAAATTTTACCACTAGGTTTTTCAGCTCAGTGATGTATATTTAGGTCTTTAACGTGCCTGAAGACCTTTTCATGTTTGAGTCTTAACTCCATGTGATTCAGTGAGAACTGACATTGCTCTAGCTCCTCAGTCTCAAAATTTTCCTTATTGTGAATGGGTTTTTGTAGCTGTTTCACACAGATACTGAATGACAGTTAATGTCAGGGTTTAATTTGCATGATACATCTCAGAAAAGCCCCTTAAATTAAAAGTTTCCTTTCACTAGAATGCTGTTACAGGATTGGACCTGAGGCTGTTTCCAGCGCTGTTCATGTTCCATGAGAGCTTGGTAGGATTTATGTGGTACATGGGACTTTTTTCAAGAGTGTTGTCTTTCAGTGGAAACCAAGTATCTTCCTCTTCCAGCCCAGCTTTTCTTTGTTTTATTCCTTTTTGTCCTCTGTAAGGAAGGAAATTACAGAACCCTCATTACATTATTTGGTATCTTTAATAATTTTTTTTATTTTTGCGGGTTGATCTTCCAGCAGCAAAACTGATAAGTCATGACTTTGCCAAATATTAGATTACATTCTTGAGATGTGGAATATGTTTTCATAATGTGAGGCCTGTAACATGACTGCATTATGATTAACAGTAAAAAGATTGAGAAGCTGAAGTGCCTAATCTCAAAATTAGAAGTGTATTTGGATTTTTAGTATTGAGTACTTTTCATGCAGTGTAGTCACTTCCAACACATGTGAATGAAGTTGGGCTTAATTTTTAGGTTTCTTTTTAACCATTGTGTTTAACCTGGCAAACACTGTGTTCTGATTTCTGCTTAGAATGAGCTACCAAAAATCTACTGCTTCTGTTATATGGAAGTAAAGATTTTAAAATGGTTGCTGCTATAATAACAAAATCCATTCTGCTTACGAGTGATATGCAAGTAATTTGCTGATTGATCTGCAAGTATTTAAACTATTTCTCAGTCTGCTCAAAGCACAGTTTACCAAGCTACCTACACTGAATGTATTCCTTAACACTTGCAAGTAATGGAAACTGTGGGAAGCTTTATAGCATTTAAAAAGAGGGGGGAGTTAAAATTATCAGTATAAAACAAAAAAATGCACTATAACAGTTGATTTGAAATACTTGTAAATTGGTTACATTTTCATAGTTAATACTTTGTTGGGAAAATATTTTTGATATTTTACATGAGAGGAGAAAGAGTTTGTCATCCAGAGGTCTGACTTAGAATTCTAACTTAACCAGGCTAAATCTGGACAGGAATGTTTGTTTTTAAAAGTTATGGTTTTGGTGGTTTTTTTCAGACAGCAGACAGTCATTGAGGTTAGCAGTATATTGGATTGTCGGTAGAAACTCACTTTTTTCTTTTTTTTTTTTCTTTTTTAATTCATATTCTCATTTCTTACAGATAAGATATTCTCATTGCAGACATCTGAGTACTGTGGTGGCAGTGGGTGACTTGGCCTGGAAAACTTTGTTCTGATCTCATTCAAAAACCTGAAATTATTACTATTTCTAGCAATTGCATAAAGATGTGCTGAACAATGAACCAGGCCTGTGCTCTGATAGCTCATCAGGCTGTCCATTAGTAAGGCAGCTAGTTTGTTCCACATGCACATCTGCATGTCTGAAGACTCAGAAACCAAACCACCTTCCTGGGGTCTTTCAAGTCAGTTAAGTGCAGCATGGGAGGTTAAACACACTACTGATACCATGGGGTAGTAAGCATGCACAGTATTATGATGAAGGCAGGGGTTAGGATAATGATTCCAGGGAAATGATTAGTCTGTATGTATGGAAACTATGGAATATGTATGATTTATGTGTATAAAAGACTGGAGTTGGTGGAACAATCCCCCGTTCATCTGGCACCGCAATAAATGATGCTTGTCCATAATGCTAAATTGGTGTTAAGGAGACTTCTTCCTGATTTTTGGTGACGCGACTGTCCTGGGAATCCTTTGATGTCAGAAGGTTATTGCAGATTGCTGTTCGGCGCCTGTTTTCAGTTTCTCACTTCTTGACTGAAAAGGATGTTTTTGTTGCACGTGTAGCCTTGTTTCAACAAAGGTTCAAAGACCCCCTATGTACAGGACAAAACACAAGCCCAAGAATGCACTTGGAGTGATCAAGTAAGATGGGCTACTGGTGTTGTCTAAAAGTCTCCTAAAAATAGTCTGACAGCATCCTTTCAGGAGGAATTCTTTGCATTGGAAACACAGGAAAAAGAAAGTACAAAAAGATAGCTGTCTGAACTTGAGTCTGGAAAACTTATCACAAGGAGGAGCACGTGCTACTTAATTATACACAAGATATTTTTCCTCTCTTCTGCTTCATTCAAGGGAGGGAAGTCTGAAGGATTAGTCACAACATGGGAGTCGCCCCACCTTCCATGTGGTAATTGAGTGTTCCTCTCGGTGTCTTTCATGCCTTTGTCCAAAACCAGTTTTTAACTAGAAAGAAAACACAGCTAAAAAAAATTTCTTTGCCCATTACTTCTAGTGTAATTTTTCTGTTGCTTATATATTAATTACTTAGGAATTAATACAGATAAAATGTAGACTTTTCACACATAGACAAATAAAACTAATTATTGTGTTTCATTCTTTGGCTCTAGGCTATGGTGGCTTGTTATCCAGGCAATGGGACAGGATATGTGCGCCATGTTGATAATCCAAATGGAGATGGAAGATGTGTTACATGTATATATTACCTTAATAAAGACTGGGATGCCAAGGTATGCAATAATTTCTTTCTAAAACTTTTTCTTTTAGAAATACTTACTAATGTACCTTTGCTGCCTATCTTTATTGATGTCCTTATGTCATACTTAGGAAGAAGCATAGCGAAGAGCACATATAAGCAGTCAGCTTCTCTGAATTGTGTGCACCAAATATGGAGAACACAGGTTGCAGCTGGGAGTTTTTATCTTTCTGGGGTTTTTCCCTTTTCTTGGCTGCTGACCATTTTTAAAATTTCAAACCATCAGAGCTGGATGAAACAATGAGACTTGTAACATACTTGCATAAAAATGGCATATCAGAAAGCTGAGTCAAATGGATGCACTGGAAGCTTTCAGTTTCTGGCGTGTTCTTTGACATGTCAAATTGGATCCTTTAATTAGAAAATAAATTACTAGCCCTTTTTTGCCATTATAACATCTTGCATCGAAGTGCACTGGTTGTACTGAACATCTGAAAATGCAGCTTTGGGGCATTTTTAGTTGATTTATGGTTTCTCTCCTGGAAAAAAATGAATACATACTAGAGTATAGAAGTCAAGCAGTTGCATTTTCACGATAACTGGATACTTAATTTATGAACAAAGGTATTTAATTTCCTGCAAAATCTATTTTAAATTACAAACTAATATACTAACAAGTACATTATTTATCAAAGAAAGAAGCTCAAACTTTCTTTAGGAGAACAAATGGATCTAAATCGTCAGTTGTTCACTGATTTAGATCACAATTGAAAACCAGTCATTTATATCAATTACCTTGTCAGTACTTGCCCTGTTATGACTTACGAAGGACTGTGGTGTCCATCCGAGGTTAGATTTAACAACATCAATACCATCAGTAGGAAGAAGTGACTTAAGTAAAATTAAATAAAATTAACCCCACCTACGTGTGCTGTTTTCTAGACATGCATAGGTAGGTCCAGATGTTTCTCAAAATCTGAAAGAGATCTAAATGGACCATGAGCAATACAGAATTAAGCTTTGCTCTGAAGTTTCTTAGTCATCCCTCCTTTTAGTTATTGAAATGTGACATAAACTTGTGCTGCTGTGAAATGAACTAGTCTCTTTCATGAGGAAGGGTGCAACTCAGATGTGAAATACAATATTTCTCTCATCTGTATTGGGGTATTTTTAGCCACCTGTGTAGTATCTATGGTCTTGTTCTTTTTTTTTGCGTGTAGGTAGTGCAGCTAAAAAAACTCCAATCTAAACCCACAGCTTTCACTTAAACATGAATGGAGGTTTAATATTTGCAAGAATTCTGAAATCACTCAGTGAAAAAGGTGTAAAACATTTTATTAAATGAAATGTATTGACAGAAAAGCCATAGTTTCATAATTTCTGTAACACCTGATAAAGGCTTTTATTTCAGTTTCAAGTGTCTGAAAAATTTTCAAACGTGATATTCAGTGCTCTTCAATACAATGAGACATTGTTCTCAGGCACTTCTTTAAAATACTTAACTTGTAGGTAAGTGGAGGCATCCTTCGGATTTTTCCAGAAGGTAAAGCTCAATTCGCTGATATTGAACCCAAATTTGATAGACTGCTATTCTTCTGGTCTGATCGCCGCAACCCTCATGAAGTACAGCCTGCATTTGCTACAAGGTAGGACTCGTGGACTCTGCATTGCATGGTGCCTGTTCTGTCAAGAAATGAGCGAATCTTAATGAGAAATGAATTATGACCTGACAAAAAGGAGGGAGTTTTTTCTACTGATCGATGTTTAGGCTTCCACTGTGCTGCTGAGTTTATACTGATGTCTGATTTCTTATTTTGGAGAAAACAGCCTCTTGGGTGGGATAGGTAGGAGGGCTGGAAACACACAGCATGTGCTTGGCAGAACTGGGTGGGAGCATACAGAGCCATAAGCAGACCCCAGCTTAGTGAAAGGGTGTTGTGTCCATCATTTCACTGTGGTGACTTTACACTCTTCTCCCTTTGCTTTGTCCTTAGCACCTTACTGTGTTACTGGAAGGTTGACTAGGTACTTCAGGTTTATGTCCCCTCTTGTTGGGAGGGAGCTGTCAGAAAACAGTAATTTTCAAACTAAGCAGATACAATCTGGTTTGTAAATTGGGAGAGGGTTGTGGGGCAAAACAAGCATTGATACACAAATCTTTTCTCTGGAGTATTAGAGGAGTTGTTCCTAGTCTGTGGCACAAAGGGAACTTGCTAACTCCTTTGTCCCTCAGTGCAGGGCAGTGGATGATGCTAAAAGTACTCACATTCACTGTCCTGACATGATGAGTGACATTTCCAGGCAGTGTTAATAGGTAAATCTTTGGAGTCATTGATCCAGGCTTCCTGTTGCCCATGTTCTAGCACTTGTGGATGGCCAGAGCACTGAACATTGACTGGATTGGTGAGATAACACAAGTACCTTTGCAAGAAGTAACTTGAAACTGCCTTTGGCCCGTCTTCTTGCAGCCTTTTAAGAAGCTGCATTTCTCTCCCCTCCCACTTTGTGCTCCCAGCAGAGTCAAAGGGTGAAATGCCATTTACTAAAGCTCCTTAAAGTCTTTTCTCAATAGTCAGCATTTTGTATTTCAATCCTCTACGGGCAGTGGAAAACCAGAGAAACTGTGTAAGAAGGGGTAGTTAATTGTCCTTTGTGGCAAATGTCAAAAAAAAGAGGTTCTTGCTGTGTGACTCAGTGATGGACTTGACATAGTAAAATTATGAGGTCACAGAGCAAGGTGATGTAGGCAGAAACTTTTATTACACGTTCTGGTCAAGTACCATAATAGCAACTCATTAGGAAAAAGAAGTGTAATAAACTTAAAGCATCAGTGTCACTTTTTCAATGACTGTTCAGACAGTACCTATTAATGGAAATAAAACCTGAAACAAGGGCTTGCTTTATTGAAAACTTTTTTCTGTCAGATTGTTTAATTATCATCTCATTTAGGTTATGTTTCACTGGTTTTCTTTTTCTTCATAGTTCTTTTTCCATCTGTTTCCCTAGGTACGCAATAACAGTGTGGTATTTTGATGCAGATGAAAGAGCACGAGCTAAAGTAAAATATCTAACAGGTAATCTCTGTTAATATCTTCTCTGTTATTTTTCTGTGGAAGAATAGCTAAACAGTCTAGTCTCATCTCCTTGGCCCACCCTGTGCCCAAAATGAGGGAGGAAATGGCATAACTCAAGAGTCAGGTATTAGAGGGAAGGTGACCCAGTGGTTGAACTCCTGGGCAGTGACTTGGGAAATCCAGGTCAATGCCTGTCCTGCTCACATTTCCTCTGAGACCTGAGGCTGCTCAGTATTTTTATAGGTGGGATACAGCTTCCCCCCTAGTCTTGTCTCCCTAATAGGTGCAGAGGATAAATACACCAGAGACTGTGAGGCATTGCAAAACTGAGAGCCCTAGAAATGGTTTTGATTGAATATAGTGATTCAACAAGTGAATACAACTTCACTTGACTAGAATTTTTATACTGGAAAAGCAAAAGTCTAAAATTAAAATCTGCCATCAAAGAATGGAGGTACTTCCTCCATTTCCAATTTTACATATCTAGCATCTGTTTTCCTTTGCTGGCTTCTCCCTCAAGAGGAAGTTGATCTAATTTTCCTGTTCAAATTAGCATTATGAGGAGAAATGGCCTAGGACTTCTGTCATGTTTGTAACTGCCGTCACAATTTTGGGTTTGTTACATTAGTTTAAAAATAACCCAAAATCAGGTGTACCACAAGTGCACACATGCACAGGGGCAGTTTCTTTACGGTCAAGAGTTCTGAAAACGATGATGTTGAAGACGTGCCAGTCATTTCCAAATGAGATTTCCATCCATTGCTCTTAGGTGTACAAAGCTCCTACGTAGCCCCAGAGCTATGTAGCAGCTGTGAAAGCTGCAGTTCAGTCCCCCTTGGTGCAGCCAGTGCCTGTGTGTGTTTTGGGAGTGGTGAGAGCAGTGCAGCTCCTGCCTGCTTTGTGCAGGGAGCCCCTCAGCTCTGCCCAGACAGACTGTCCCACTGCTTGGTGGTGCATGCCCAGCGAGGCACGGTGACTTCCCAGGCAGTCAGGAATGCAGGAAAAATCCTGCCTGGTCTCCACAGGAAGCCTGTCTGTAAGCCAGGCTTCACCTCACATGCATGGGACTGCACAGCCCTGGAGCCAGCCTTGCTGGGCCACAGCTATTCTGTTGTCTCTGTGCAGCTTCAACTGCTGATTTTCAGACAGACTGCAGGGAGGTAGTTTGTTTGAGTGGGTTTGTGCCTGAAGGGAAGGTGCTCCCCCTGGTCTCCCTCCCTCTCCAGGGTCCCCCTAAACTTGAGGCACTTAAGGAGGGAGGGCTGGGTTGCTTAAATTTTGCAGAATCACAGAATCAGTGAGGTTGGAAAGAACCTCTGAGTCGAGCCTAGCCTTTGACCGAACACCACCATCTCAACTAGACCATGGCACTAAGTGCTACATCAAGTCTTTTCTTCAGCACCTCCACTGACAGTGGCTCCACCACTTCCCTGAGTAGTCCATGTTTAATTACCCTTTCTGTGAAGAAATTCCTCCTCCTTCAGTACTGGTTTGCCCTGTAATTGGTTTGTTATATTGTTGTGTTTTCACTTTCCATTTGCAATTAAAATTGCTTTCTTTGCTTTGTATCT